AAGCAACAATGCCAGACAGGTGATATCTTCTTTTAAGTTGTTGGCCAAGGTGGCCACAGGGACTCCCAGATAGTAACCCAGCATAGATCTGGGGAAATGAACAGCAGACCCCAACCTTATCTAAAGAAATATTGACAACTGATTACTGCTAGATGAGGAACAGCTGACCCTCCTAAAACAGCAACCTCTAGATAGGCTGACTAGATTCATCAGAAGGGCAAGTAGTGGGGAATGGCTGGGGATGCCGACAACACAGCAGACAGTAGCAGGGATATCAGAGTATAAGGGCTCTCGTAGGGGGAGGGAGGCTATGGGAGGGTACTATCTGGGAAGTGGGTGTATAGTCGAATGAGATGGTTTGGGATGTTCTGCGTGTTATGCACACACACACAGACAAAAAAAATCAACAATTTTTTTTAAATGTATTATATTTGAGGAGGAAGCATGGAAACTTACATCATGCTAATTAGTAGAGGTGATAAAAAATACCATTGAAATCTGCCCAATGACTCTATAGACATACACAGGCACCAAGGATCCAAGTGCAACCAATTATGACTAGTAATAATCAGATACATAAGGATTAGAGATGCATGCTCCAACATCTCAGTGTTAGTAGCAAAAACAATAAGTCTGTCTGCAAGGAACAATATTTTCTAAAATGAAATGGAAGTCTTTTTTAAAGGTTAAAAACTCATCCAATTTTATGTCTTACAGGGCTTTTACTGGGTACTTTTTAATTTTTAAAAAATCATTTATTATTATTTTTAGATATATTTTATTTATTATTTTTATTTTATGTGTATGGGTGTATTGCCTGCATGTTTGTGAGTGCACACGTGTCGTGCAATGCCACGGAGGTCAGAAGAGGGCATCGGATTCCCCTTGGAACTGGAGTTAAGGGATAGTTCGTAGCCACCATTTGGGTGCTGGAAATCGAACCTGGGTTCTCTGCAAAAGCAGTCAGTGCTCTTAACCACTGAGCCATCTCCCCAGTGCCTATTTATTGTTTTTATTTTATGTGTATGAGTGTTTTGCCTGCAAGTATGCAAGAACACCTGTGTCATGCAATGCCCAAGGAGGTCAGAAGAGGGCATCAGATCCCCTGGAACTAGAGTTGCTGAGGGTTGTTAGCTGTAACCCTAGTGCTGGGAACCAAACCGTGGTCCTCTGCAAGAGCATCCAGTGTTCTTAACTGCTGAGTTGTATCTGCAGCCCTGTAGCTACTAAATTTTTCAGCTGTTGCATTTAGCCGTTTTCTTTATTTCCCCCTTTATTTATGAAGGCCATTCACGTCTTTCTTAGCAGCAGCTTACTATGCTGTATTAACAGTTCTGTAAGCTGTCATTATTACCCAATACGGAGTAACTGCTGTTTAAAGCATTTAGATGTTAGACATAACACGCATATTTAAATAACCAATTCTGTTATCACCTGTGTGACCTCTGGCTTCCTTTTAATAGTTTTTAGAACAGATTTTCAGTACCACCTTACATTGCTGTGTCGTGTAAATCATGAGTGTGAGCCCCACCTGACCAACTGCCATGCAGCCAGTACGCAGCAGTGTCTGGCCACTGTGACCAGCTGCTGTTTATCACTTTACCTGTCACCTGGGGCTCATAAGTGCAGCCCTCAGCAAAAACGCTAAGCACCAGTCTGGTGTATCATAGATACATAGATTCTCAATAATGTACCACATTTGTCTCCAGAAAAATCCTAAGAGGCCCCTGGCAAGTCAGACGATACAAGGACCCCATTAATCACCCCTCTTCTCCTGACACTTGTTTGGAAGAACAGAGAAGTGGAGAGTTGCAGAGTAGTTGGCCCATGGCCCAGAGCATTTCCAGCACACCTCATCCCATCAGCATCTCTGGCCTGGGCGGATTTGAGGCAAACTCTGCTCCTCCAATCGGGAGTGCAGAGGGCAGCTCTGACATAGTGCAGCCTGAAGATGCACTTAGTTTGGCCTTTCAGTCATTTGAAATTGTGAGAGTTTCTATAAAAAATCGGTTTACCATCTTTTCTCAAAACCTAGGCTGCTACTGAACAGCAGCTGCCCCTTTTCTAAGAGTGCCCCCCAGCTTTGGGCATGCCTTTGGCCTCCCTCCTGGTGGGATTACATCTCCTCCAATTCACTGTCTCTATCATTTCTATTAACTCTCTATTCATGTCCTTGAAAGCACCTGCCTCTGGGCAGGAAAGCCTAGGCTGCCTAGGGGCATCTTCATGTGTGGTCACCAGACTTGGCCTCCCTGTAAAGTCTGCCCTAAATCCAGCATCATCCCCTGGTGGTCCTTCATCCTTGTTTGTAACCACAAAGCATTGGCCTATTCTCAAATATCTGCTTTTCAAAAAAAGATATTTGAATGTATGCATATGTCAGTTTTGTAAGGGAAGGATTTGGGCTCACCTTTGTTCTGTTAGTGGAGATTTCTTTGCTCCTTTAGACAGCCTCATAGAATGGCCACAGACAAGGTGGGAAGCTAAAATAAGCCTTCTGCATACATGCAGAAAGGCACCTCCAGCCTGATGCCCTGAGACACTAACTCTAGACACCAGAAAGAAGTCACACATTACCCTGGCTAAAGCTAGCTTCCTGTCGCCTCCATTCTTCCTTCTCCCTATCTGTCACAGGGGGAATGACTCAGCCAGCCGTGCCATTGGGAAGCTCTGTTTCGTTCCTCACTTGGCTCCACATTATCTAGACAGGATAGAAAGGAGGCAGGCCAGATGTCCATGGAGCAGATGTATTTCCTTCCTTGCTTATGGAGCAGTTGAACATGGGCATCGAGAAACCCTTCAGTTAGGGGACTGGGAAGCTTTGTCCCTGTCCCAGCCACGTTCCAGTCAGAGGACCAGGCAAACTGTTGGCTTGGAGCAACCCAGTGTGCTTCCCCACATCCCCTTTGCTTCAGCCTCTCCTGCAACATAAGTGCATTTCCCTCTTCAATTCTGTGCCTAACCCTCTATGGTTCCACAGACTTCGCAAGCGTCTCCCACTAATTCAATGGCCTGCAGGAGTCACGAAATTAAAGCCTAACAAGCAAGGAGAGAGAAATCGGTGTCCGACAGTTCTACCCAAAGTGGGCACACAGGTCCAATGTTGCCAACTCTGATTTTTCATGAGAAGCCAGAAAACCATTCTGTATTTACAAAACATCCTACATTGAAAAATCTGGCAACATTGGACAAACTAAAGAAAACGCATCCATGCATGGCATTTGGACTAGGAGCTTCTAATTCGCAGGGCCGGGCTGAACAAAGACTACACGGTCCTTCCCTCTGGAATATGATTTTAGGGATAGTTTTCCTGATAGTTGTTAACTAAATAATGTGACCATATCAGAGCTTACCATTACAAGTAGCCATTTTTCACAATACAGCATTTCATACCAGTGATTTCTGTAGGTTTCCTAGGTAACAGCTAGGTTCCTGTCTCCCCTATTTAATATATAGCCTGGTCCCAGGAGTCATTCCCTCTCCTCCCCACAGGGCCCCCACCCCAGTGAGAGAGGCTGGACTGAAAAGGCCTGGTTTATAAGCAATGCTGTTTGTTGACTTCAGATAAGTCCTTTTTGCGTAAAGCAAGTGTGGAACTCTTAGGCTAAAGATGCTCTGGGAGATGAATTCAAAGTCAGCTCCCAGGAGGCTGAAGAGGAGGATCATCAGTTCAAAGGCCATCTCAGGCTATAGATTGAGGCCTTGTTTCAAAAAAAGGAAACAATAAGGGGGGGAGATTTTTTCTATTTCATCTTACCTTTGGTAAACTGTCAATCTGCTACTGTGATTACATGCCAAAATGTCAACAATGTTGGGGTCTGGATGACTACTGGAAGAAAATATTCCTAATGTACTTACAGATACACTAAAAAGCAAAATGCTAGGGTAAAGTCATGTGGACTTGGAGAGCAATTCTAACACAGAGCTGCTGAACACTTAGAGCACTGAAAAGCATTATTGAAATATTATGCAATTATTTTTATAAGAATCAGCATTGATTCAGCAGACATTTATTAAATGTTTGCTCTGAATAGAGTCCTATGGCATCCCTGTTGGAGAATAGACAGTTTGTGCTCTCCATGCACAGTTACCCATCAATAATGTCACACAAACTTGTGTTTTATATATTTATTTGCTTAGCTTATACATATTTACTCGTGCTAGAAAGTATTCTGGTCACTTTGTAAGCATTAACTTATTTGATCCTGGAAACACCCTTAGAGGAGAAGTGATATTATGATCTGTACCATATATATATATATCCATATATATGAGATATGTATATATATACATATATATATATATCCTCATGGATAAAGATGAGGAAATAACACATATATCTAAGTGACTTGTTAACATCACACTGATAGTAAGTGCCAGAATTTGAACCCAGAATGCCTGGCTCCAAAGTCTACAATTGTAGCCACCATATCAGCCTTGTTATAAAACAAACAATCCCCAAAGTTCATGACATGAAACAGAAACTGATTATTATTGTTTTCAGCAGTGCAGTTCTGATGCTTTGGACCAGGCTGAGCCCAGCTTAGCTGTGTTACCCAGGTGTGTGCCTTAGGGCTGCCTGGCCCAAGATATCCTAACAGGATGGCCCAGCTATCCTTCCATGTGGCTTCTCATCCCCAGTGCTGTAGCCAAGGTCTGCAAATGAGAAGAGAAATTCATGTGTTTGTGTTATCCTTTCCTTGGATTAACTTTGTTATTCTCCACTGATGAAAGCGCTTCACCCAGTCAGGTCCAGAGGCCGTGTAGGAGGGCACTGCCGAAGGGCATGGGCTAGTTGGAATGGAAAGCAGGCCTTCAATGCCATTACCCTACCACATTATGATTCAACACTGCTGCATTTATCTTCCTTTCCAGACACTTTCAAAGTTGGTATTTCAGACTCCAAATGAATTGTGAAAATGTTATAACATGTTACTGTGTTGGTATAGGAAGGTAATAAACAAACAATATGAAAAATAAAAGAATAATTATGATTTTAGGCTGATCCTGGGGAAACACCATCAGAGACTCCAAGTGAAGCCAGGACTACTCCAGCAGAAAATGGAGTGAATCACACCACATCCTTGACACCCAAGCCACCTTCCCAGGCTCAGCACAGTCAACCAGCTCCAGGTAAACAGTGGAGAAAGAGCTAGCTACTCATCAGGGAGCCAACCTTCAATTTGAATGTGCCTCTGTAGAAGGCCATGACTTTGAAGGAGAAAAGTATAGACTTGTGTGACATTGATGAAGTGGATGAATGAATGGATGGATGGATGGATAATGGATGGATGGATGGATGGATGGATGGATGGATGGATGGATAATGGATGGATGGATGGATGGATGGACGGACGGATGGATGGATGCCACGAGGCCTTGCAGATGCTCATCTGGCTATGCAGGGCGTGGTGAGGTATTTATCATGGAAGAATATGATACTTAGGAGAACAAATCCTATTCCACTTGTATCAAACATGCATGAACTGATACTCTGATGTAAAGAAAGTTGATGAAATCTAATGATTAATCACAAACAAGAAACAATATTTTCAAATGCATACATTATTTACCACATGAAAAACATTTGCAGTGCTTCTGAACTATAATTCATATTTATATAAATAGAGTTTATTGTTTCTGGGAATAAAAGAGAATTTAGCATTTGATTTTTCAGTTATATTTTAGAATAATTTGACCTACAGGAAACTTTTTTTTTGTTGGCCTTTTTTGAGACAGGGTCTCCCTGTAGCCCTAGCTGACCTGGAACTCTCTATAATAAAGACCAGGCTGGCCTAGATCTCACAGTAAAGGAATGCACCACCACACCCAGCAGGAGACATTTTTTGAATGGTACAGAGCGTCTGACACACATTTCCTCTTCCCTTAATGTTACCAAGATAATGGCGAGCATTTCAAAACAAGGAAATTACCATTGGTGCGATAGCTTGAACTGAACAGCAAGCCTTGTACGAACTTCTGCTTTCCAGTAATATCTCTTTTTTTGCAGATTCCTACTCAGGGCCCCACACTGCACTTGCTTGCCATGTCCCTGTGGTCTCCTGTTCTCTATGATAGTCCCTAAGTCTTGCTCATTTCTCTTAGCCTTGATGTTCTTGAGGAATTCCGGTCAGTTATTTTTCAGACTGTCACTTTGGGTTGCCTCAATGTTTTCTCATGATCAGATTGAGGTTCTGCATGTTTTAATGCTGTGCCCCTCTTGGAGCAACTTATCGGGGGCGGTGGTGCTGACGTCCCATCCCTGGTGATACAGGATCCCTCAGTAAAAGTGGTTTCCCTCTGAAAATGTTGATTCCTCCCTCTTAGATGTGTTGGGGGAGGTAATTTGAGGATACATGAATACCCCGCTTCTCCTTAAACTGTTCTATTGACATTGGCATCCATGAGTGGTTCTTGCCTGCAAAAGTTAGTACTGCCTCCTGGCCTGCATTCAATTTTTAAAAGGCCATGCACCTTTCCTGATTTTGCCAAAAGGTGTCAGTAGCTCTCCCTAAATTGAATTTTTCACTTAGGTCCAAGCAGAGGGAGTCTTTTCTCTCCCCATATATGAAGAATACTGACAGTTTTATGTCAAAGTAGGACTGTATCTCTGTTACAATTTAAAATAGCTTTTAGAATAATTGTGTTTTAAATAGCTTTCTCCCATAATTATTCATTCTTTCTAATGAGACTTAGAATCAAGGTAAAGAGATTTAGATTTAAGTTAAAGAGTCTTAGCATCAAGGGGCAAACTTTTTTTTTTATCCGTACTGGAGATGAAACTCAGGCAAGCTCTCAACCACTGAGCTACACACCCCCGAACCTCAACATTCTTTTAAAAAATGGAATGAAAATTTAAAAGTCAAAGAAGTCTACTTCTTCTACATTTTTGTTGTTGCAGGTTCTGTGAAGGCACCTGCCAAAACAGAAGACCTTATCCAGAGTGTCTTGACAGGTGAGTGCTACCCTTTACCCTCCATGGAACTTGGCAGCTGACATTACACAGATGTAGAGGAGAGATCTCCACTTCTCTCTGGAAACTAACATCATTAATACTTCTCCTTTATAAAAGTCTGTAGACATCACAGAGACATAACCAGAGTTGACAGGCAGGACCCACTGGCTAAAAACAATGGTTGCTGAAGACAGCTACTTCAGAATGAAAGAATGGCTTCTTTCAGTGATCAGGAATGCATACTTTCCTAAAGTACTAATAGTAAAATATATTTTGAATATGCATACTATGGCCTATTTGTGATCACGAAATGCACAATATTCACGAAGTGTAATACAGTTTAGGATCAAATTTAGTTAGTTAGATCAAGTACTGAACTGAAATTGATAAAAGCTTTCTTCAAAACAATTAGCACCTAATCATGTAATGGAATCTTTAAAATGTTTAAATATTTGGCCCAAGCCAGAATAGGAATGTACACATACATTCACCAAAAGCAAAACCACTAGTAAGAACTAGTAAAACCACTAGTAAGATATCAAAGACCCAAGTGCCCACCAGCAGTAAGGCAGACAAATTGTGAAACAGTCACAGGATAGGGTGAGGAGCAACTATGAGAAGAGACAGGAATCACACACAACAGCATGGGTAAAACTCACAAGCACAGTGCTGAGAAAAAGAAGTGGGACACAAAAGCATGACTTCATATGCATGGCATGCAAAGCCGGGCAAAATTAACTCGAGCCATTGGAAGCCCAGGTTTGGATTATGCCTGTTAGAGGAACCAGAATGTATCTGGGGTGATAGCAGTATTGTTATTTTTACCTGTGTGATTGTCAGTGAAACATGCTAACCTTGCAAAAATGTGCAGGGCTGATTATTCATGATATATGCATTTTATGCGCACATATTTCATCAAAAATGCACATATCATGCATAGAAAAGTTATGTGCAGATCTTAGTATAAGTAAACAAAACTGGGGCTGGAGAGATGGCTCCACGTTAAGAACACCGGTTGTTCTTGCAGAAGACCTGGGTTTGAATCCCAGCATCCACATGGCAGCTAACAACTGTCCATAACTCCAGTTCCAGGGGATCCGACAACCTCTTCTGTCCTCCACGGGTGTTGCACGACATGGGTGCACTTACCTACATGCAGGCATAAAACTCATACACATAAAACAAAAATATTTTAAAAAAAGAAAACAAAACATGTTTTAAAAGAGTCTCCATGACATTGATGCAGAAGCAAAGAAGTTGAAGTGCCCAGTGTTTTTTAAAGTTGTAAACAGGAGCTGAAGAAGTGACTCAGCTGCTCTTTCAGAGGATCCAGAGGATCCAGGTTCAGTTCCCAGCACCTACATAGTGGCTAACAATCAACCATAACTCCAGTTCCAGGGGATCCAACACCCTCTTCTGGCCTCTGCAGGCATTGCACAACACATAGTGCACTTGCATACCTGCAGGCAAAACACTCATATACATAAACTAAAAATAAATCAATAAAGATAAAATATGCAAATATATAAAAAAGGTAGTGGGTTCTGTACCACCATCTTGACTGTGGCTACCTCTGAGTAGACTATCCATTAATGATATTGTATCACTGTATAAATGGGCATCACTTATATTTCAGGATATTTTGAGGGACAGAATTTTGCCTGAGAATTTTTCAAAAGCAGTGTCTTAGAGTATTTTTATTATAGGCTGGAGTGCAGGGAGCCCCATTCTAAGCTGCCCATAGCTGATGTGCTATAAGCCATTTCTTTTAAAAAGTAGGATGGAATTGCTTACCAAAGGTACAGCCGTTCCTTAGGATCATAAATTCTTAATGTAATCACTTATTATGCAACCGTAATGAGTTAGTTTGAGCCTGAGGGAAACCATTAAATAAGTGTATCTAGCACGCTTCTCCGCAACTTCTTTCTCCAAAAAGAACAATTGGATGTCAGGAGAACAGACACATGATAAAGGAAGGAAGTGCATTTCAATGGCTTAAAGACCTTGCTATTTAGGAACATGAATTGCATTCCAGTTTCATCATTTAGTCTGCAGACATTTCATTTTCTATGAAATGGTCTATTGTGATTCATACATACATTATCTCTGAATCTCTTGACAGTTCTAAATATTATGGTAACATTTTTTGTTCCCAGAAACACAAAGTTCAGAATGGAAACACGTGACCTCCGACTTAATCTGGGTCCACATACATGCTAATTCCCTGAAGGTGAGACACCACAAGTTGAGGCACCCCACTATTCCTGCACCACTGAGGAAAGCGTTAGGAAGCTCCAACACCCCACTGACTGTGAGATGCATCTTGATTTCAGAAATGTGAATGCATTTTTAAAATGCATGTTCTAAAACTGATGAAACATGTCCATGAAATGCAGAATGACTTAAGGTCAGGCTCTGTCACATTACACATTTTCTCAACAGTGCCTGAAACATCGTGGAGTCACGTGGGTTGCCATTAGCCCTTCTGGTGCCTTTGTCCAAATTGATTAAAGGACTTTTTCCTGTGACACCTAACTGCGGTGTCCACTGAAGTAGACGGGCAAATCTATGCTGTCCCACCTGTGAATGGGACCCCTGAGAGATCTGAATCTTTGTGGTTATCTTCTAAGTCTCTACAGGCACGATGCCAAAAAGTATTAAACACTTCCCAGGAATTCTTTTACTTCATCATCTGAACAGCCCTGTAAAGTAGTAGACATATCCTAATCTTTAAAGGGATGAACTGGCCTCACCCATTTTCCTTCTGCATCTGGTGCACCCTATTTCCAGAAGGTTCGAGGCTTGACTTCTGAAGTTCACAGCTCTCTTTTTCTTTTCACAATTGCCTTTTGTCAAAAAGGAGATTCTCGGGGCTACAGAGATGGCTCGACAGTTAAAAGCACTGGTTGCTCTTGTGGAGGACCCAGGTTCGATTCTCAGCACCCACATGGAGGCTAACTCTCTGTAACTCCATTCCAGGGGCTCCAACACCCTCTTCTGACTTCCGAGGGCATTGCATGACACAAGTGCACATACATACACGCAGGCAATACACTCATGTAAAATAAAAATAACAAATAAATTTTGTTTTTTTAAAAAAGGAGATTCTTTCTAGAAAGTTGTACCTCCTCCCACTGATTGTCCCAATTGCAAAAAGCTGGCTTCTTCCTTCATAAAGAGACCATCCATGAGGTAGAGTGCACATTCAGGGCTCCCCTGGGATTAGGTGGAAGCCAGACTCCAACTGCCATGCACCTTGCTCAGCTGTTGCTTTGCAGGTCTCCCTCCCTCTCTTCTCCCTCCTTTCCTCCCTTCCTCCCTCCTCTACCCTAAGGGGCTCACAGCAAGTCACAGGCACCGGGATCCCTATCCTGGGGAATCCAAACTTAAAAATACAAATGAAGAAACAGGGCCTCTGCAAGATTTGGTAGCGCAGTCATGAACTGGCAATCAGAGGAGACAGGGCAGGTGGCTGTGTCTGACATCCAAGCTCTGCCCTCGAGCTGTGCTTGGCTGTGGTTAGACAGACTGCTCACTGGACAGGCTGCTGCCCTCCTTCTTCTGGACTCTGTCTTCCCCTCCCTTCAGCCCTTCCGCTCATTTGTTGCAGAAGTGGAAGCGCAGACTATTGAAGAGCTCAAGCAACAGAAATCGTTTGTGAAACTTCAAAAGAAGCATTACAAAGAAATGAAAGACCTGGTTAAGAGACACCACAAGAAAACCACCGACCTGATCAAGGAGCACACTGCGAAGTACAACGAGATTCAGAATGACTACTTGAGAAGAAGGGCAGCCTTGGAAAAGTCTGCCAAAAAGGACAGCAAGAAAAAGTGAGTTGAATGAGTCGCTGGTTTTATACCACAGAGGAAGAGCCACTGCCATGGATGGTCGATGTTTTATGATGTATTGTGTCATGTCTTGAACCTGTGCCATCACAGGAAGGAAAGTCACACCCCTGATCCATCTCTCCTGCTCTCCAGTCATCTCAGTTCGCAATCATGAGCTGAACTTAATTTTTCCTCTTTGTTACTCCCTCCCTCCCTCCCTCTCTCCCTCCCTTCCTTCCTTTTTCTTTTCATTCTAAGACAAAATCTTGTCAAGCTGCCCAGGCTAGACTTGAACTGCCAGGTGCAAACACTCCTCCTTCTCTGATTCCAGGACAGTTGGGGCTGCAGGCTTTAATTTCTTTACTTGAACAAACTCTGAAATAGATACACAGTTAGTGCTGCCTGAAATCTGTCCCTTGACCCTAATATCAGGTTGCTAATGCCCCTCCTCCATATAGCAGCTGCCAGCAAGGCAGGCATAAAATTGTGCCTTTCCTAGAACCTAATTGAAGAGACAACTTACCTTGAGAAAGAGCAAGTCTCAACTTTCTTTTGATGCTGTATCTGAAACCCATTATATCCTATACAAGTGATACCCACACCAGGGCCTGGGGCTCTCACAGCCCCATGTAACTCAGAGCGTGATGGAGGAAAGCATTGTGTGGGGACACAGTCATTCAGCTAACATTATTAGATGTCACTTGTGCCCTGGGAGCACAGCAATGAGCACCCTCACATAGGTGTCAGGGTAACCAGAGGAGGCCCAACAACCACAAAACCACAACATAGTTTCAGATTGCTGTAAAGACTATCAAAGGAAGGAAGAGGGACACACTAGAGAATGACCAGGGCAAGCAAGCCTCCCTCTTTGTGTCTGTTTGTTGGTTTGTTTTCAGTGCTAGGAGTGGAGCCTAGGGATTTGCACATACTAGCCTAGTGCCTTAGCTACAACTTTACTAGGCTGCATGGTTTTGTAAACAGTCTCATCATGTAGTTTGGAATGATCATGAATTCATGATTCTCCTGCCTTAATATCCAAATACTGAGTTTATAGCATGTGTCATAACTTATCAGCTGGGAGAGCCATTGAAATGTCAGTATAGAATGAGGTGATTCGTAAGTAACATATAAAGAATGACCAGAGAAGGTTCCAGAACAAGTGCATAGTTCCTGACACAGGAAAAAATGGACTTGCTTTAGCAATAGTGGGTAAGACCTAGTAACCAGGTAAAGTGACATAAGATGAAGCCTGACGTTCAAGAGAGTCATTTCACCAGGGTCTTTAGAGCCAAAGCAACTGACAATTCAGAATTTATATAAGTAAATAAGAATCCACTGAAGAAAAACAATTGAATTGTTTTAGTCTAGTATTCTCAGAAAATATTCCTAGCTGCTATGTGGAAGGTGGATCTTTATGCTGGGCTTTTCAAATGGACACAAGACATGGGCAGGTTCTGGTTCGAGAGATCTGAGTCAGAGTGGGAGCACTAGGTGATGCTGAGACTCTGGTTCCCAGATGGCACTCTGGCAGGCCTGAGGACGCAGGGCTGGAGCAAGAAGACTGTCAAGCAGACTCCTGAGTGCAGCTGAGTGATGGAGACTTGGCCTAGGAAGAGGGTGGCGGAAACGGAAGAAGGCGATGGGTTCTTGTGTTGTTGTTTCCAGTGAGATTAGGATGTGGACTGGAAACCTAGAGGAGAGGAAACACCACCTTCATGGCTCTGTAATTGCCAGGTGTCCTTATGGATAATAAAGTGTATGTGGTCACCGCAACAACATCTGTTCAAGGTACTCCACTGCCTGGCTAGAGCAGCGTGGCTCAGAGTTCAGCCTGTGGGAGACCCCGACCTTGGGCCTCCACTCCGTGTCTGACTCGGGCCTGTGGTAGAGCCTTCGCAGTTTTGACAAGCCCCAGGGTTTGTCGATGGGTCTGGTCCATAGACCTGTTCTTGGTAAGCTTTGGTCTAGAACTCCTCAAGGGCATCCCAAAAACTACAAGGCAGCATAAAGGCCTTCCTTGGTTGAAGCCTTCCTGCCTCCTGAATCTCTTTCCCCAGCCACATCAGAACCTCTAGCCCCTGCTTAGATCCCTCCATGATGAGAAGGGGACATGTGGATTCCCCAGGCTCATGGGCCCTTCCTCATGAAGATGATAGGTTTATCTCTAGACCTCCGCAGACGCCTGCTACCAAGCCTCAGAATCTCTCCTGACCACAAATTCCATGTGGATCTCAGAATGGTGTTTGCTCTCAGAAATCCACGGTAGGTTGCTCATAGAATGCCCTGTGCTTTGTGGACACGGCCACTGGCTGATCACACTGGGAGCTTTTGCCTCCTGGTGAAGGGCTGTTCCAGTCCTGGAGGAGCTCCTCTGTTGAGTGTCAAGGATGTGCTAGGCAGATGTGCTGTGATTGCTGTACAAGGTACCAAAAAGTGCAGGTTTAAAATAGCACAAATTCATTGGCTCACAGTTCCAGAATGTAGGAGCCCGAAATTGAAGTGCGAATAGAGCACCTGCTCTGAGAAGTGGGCTAAGAGTCCTAGAGTCACTTCCTGGTTTCTTGTAGCTTCTGGTGGTTGCAGATGATCCTCCATAGTCCTCACCCTGTAGATTCTTCAGTTCCAGTTCCATCTGCACTGTCACCTGGCATTCTTTGTGTGGGTGTACTGCTCCAAATTTGCTCTTTCTGCTAAGGATACCGGTCCCTAGGTTAGGGTCCATCCTTAGGCAACTATAACCTCTCATTACTATTACACTTGCAATAAATAGACTTCCAAAGAAAGTTATCAAATAAGCTGATATCTGGGAAGAGAATGATACCCAAAGGAATGTTATCCAACCCAGAACCCGGGCTAAGCACTTACATACCCTGTTCTGTGCATTTCTTACAGCAGCACTGTGAAGTATATGCAGACATCCTCCACAGTGGACAAACAAGGATCTGAAGCCCCCTCAATTCGTGTCCCAGCCAGGGAAATGCATAGCACAGAGGCCGCAGTTACCACAAAGCCACAGCATGGTGCCCACCTACCAGCCGTGTTCTGTGATGTAGGGGCTCTAGAGCCTGCATGTCTACTGACATGTAACTGTTTCCAGAAGTGGTCCCCATAGCCCTACAATGGATTTAGAAACTTACAACTGCTTCGCTGTATATCTCCATACCATGAATGCATGCTTGAAATAGCAATGACCAAATAAGATTATTCATCAACTATTCCAAATGTTATCAGATCACCTTTCTAAGTTGAGGTTTGTACATTTTCTTGGAGCATTCTCTGCAGGCCTGCAGTATGAACTTGTTGGTGTTACATAGTATTTTGCAACATGAAGCTTTCTAATTAATGGGGTTAATTTTAATGCAAAAATATTTTCCTTAATGTTTAATAATTAGGGAAATAATGAAATATAGTAATTAGTTTAAATTCTTCTTGGCTTAAACAATAGACATGTATTTGTTTACATTAACGGTGGCTGAATTCCAAGGTCAAGGTGCTGACTGATTTAACGTAATGATAAAGACCACTGACCTGAGTGCAGATAACTGCCTCTATCCATTTCTTCCTTGCAGTGAAGCAAAAAGGGAAAGGTCCCTGTATTAGTCACTTTTCTGTTACTGTGACAGAAACACCATGACCAAGGGAACTTATAAAAGGAAGAGTTTATTTAGCTTGCTGTTCCGAAAGGGCAAGAGCCCATCATGGTGGGGCAGCATGGCAGCAGAGGTGGCTGGAGGAGGAGCGGAAGCTAAGCTCTGACATCTTCAAGCAGGCACAGGAAGCAAGAGCATGACTAGAGATCTGGCAAAGCTTAAGAACTCTGTAAGCCCACATCCAGTGATGTGCTTCCTCCAGCACAGCCACATCTTCTAAGACCTCCCAAAACAGCGCCACCAACTGGTGACAAAATGCTCAAGTACTTGGAGCCTATGGGGGACATTCTCATCCAAACCACCACAGTCTCTCATCTCTCATTATACAAGGGCACTCTCCCATCACAGCATCCCCCCACCTTATGTCCTCATCTAAATCTAATTAGATCTCATAGACCCAAACTCCAAATACTACTATTTTGTGGGTTAGGGTTTCAATATGTGAATTTTAGGGTGACAAAATTCATTCCAGAGCATCTCCCTTCCTCTGTCTGAGTTCCTTTTCATTTATAGGGAATGGCAAAAGTCCAAAAAGACTGTGCACATAACTGTGCCTATAAATGTACCAACTCATCCAAATTGGAATTCATGTATTCTCTTCCCTGCCTGTTATAGTAGCTGAAATCTGTAGAATTCCGTCTGGGCCCAAATGTCCCAGTAACACACTAGACTGCATACTTTCTGGTCTGGTGGGAACCTTGCTATAGCAAGTGGTCTTTTCTCTTGTAACATTGACTTTGTCTGTCTATAGAATTATGAATGAGAGTATAAACATGCTGCACTATTCCTAACACTAAGCAGACCTCCCCCCTTAATGTCGTGTCTCCCCTGGAGCAAAAGCCAGGATTGGCCGATGCCTGCTCTTTCCATCTAGTCCCTTCCCACTGTCTCTTGAACCCGTTCTAAGCAGGGTTTCACAGATTACTTTAAATTCTTATTGTCCATTTAAGGCATAAGCAATTTTGGTCTCCCTTTAAAATATTTTCATTTTAGTTCTTAGGTATTTTGATTGATTTTTTTTTTAATGTGTTTGGGTGTGTCGTATGTAAATGTGCCTATGGGTGGTGCAGTGACTGCAGAGGTCAGAAGAGGGCTTCGGATCCCCTGAACTGGATTTATATACAGTTGTTAGCCACCATGTGGGTGCTGTGGACTGAACCCAGATCTTCTGGAAGAACAGCCAAGGCTCTTCACCACTGAGCCCTTTCTCCAGTCCCTCATTTTAGTTCTTTAATGAGCACTAACAGAACACTGTGGAAGGAACTGATGTAAAATCTCATAAACACCAGTTCACCCTGTTTAAAAAGTAAAGTGTCATTTATGGTGTTAAAATATATAGTATAGAAAATTTACAATTTTAAATCCGAAGTATCGCTTCATTCTAGTTCAATAGATTTGATTTTTGAGTATTATATAATATGCCAGTAGTGAGAGACATATTTTAAGTCACTTTAAATCATTGTTGAACATAAGTATTTAATTTGTACAGTTTAGCCATGAGAAGTATTCTTTTGTTTATTTGGTTGATTTTTTGAGATACAGTCTTGCCGTGAAGTTCAGACTGGCCCTGAACTCTTTTGGAAATACTGTCATTGGTTCTCATTAACATCTTTAAAGGGCTGAACTTGTAATGATTGTCATTGATAAATAAAGCCTCCCTCTCTAACTGAAAACGTTATAAGTTGCCCTTTAACTTTGAGTATGAAAACTACCTGTGTATGGGCCAAGAATAAAGTAGGCTGAGCTACATCCTTCCTTTCACATCCTTACTGAGTCATCGTCTCATGGAGAGAAAGACAGGATGCATGTTTCAGATTCATAGTGTAACATATGATGAAACGTGCTCACCATTAAAATGCAATACTTGATTTTTAAAAAGTAGCAAAATCACCTTTCCTTAGAGGTAGAACAGACTTAAAAGCCGTCAGGTGAAATTTGTCTCTTCTTTGAAGGGGGAGCTAAAGGCTAAAAGCATTAGCATTTGCCTGTAACTACACAGTCAGTGAAGGCAAAGTTTGTTCCTAAGAATTCTCCTTTAATGATTGATATATATATATATATATCAGTATATATATATTCGCTATTTTCTTTTACATCATATTCTTCAAATTCCTAATACAACATCAAAATAATGTCATGAGACATGTATATAGAAACCTTGAGAAAATAGAAACACGCATCATAGACACTTCTCCCTCACACATACATCATATCATAGACACCCCTCACATCATAGACAACCCACACACACACATCATAGGCACTTCCCTACACACATACGTATCACAGACAACCCCCCCACACACATCATAGGAACTCCCCATATTCACATCATAGACAACCCACATACACACATAATAGACATACATGTACATCATAGACACCCCACACACATACATATATACATACATCATAGAAACACAGCTTTAGGTAAGTTTCCTAGACCTATTGTACAAAAGCCACATGTGGCTAGTAGGTCCTTGACATGTGGTTCATTTGGGCTCAGTAAGAGAACTAAAATTCAGCCTCGGGCAAGACCCTGGGGTGGCTCCCCTGAACCAAGAAAAAAACTTATTTTGCAAAAATCAAGATGTCCTCCAATTGTGAAACATGCACCATATTTCTGTGACTTCTCTAAAAATGTAAAATACCTCATATCTTTTTGCTTCTCTTAATTGGTTAAACTTGCGCGCGCGCACACACACACACACACACACACACAATTTTGAGTCCAGGGCTCACCATATAGCTGAGATTGCATGCAAATTCATGATCCTCCTGAGTGTGGGGTTACAGGCATTTACCATCACACACAGCTTATATTTTTAAAAATTAATTATACTTTCTTCTTTTTGAAAAAATTTATTTTTTATGTGTATGAGCGTTTTGTCTACATATATACAAATGCACCTGTGCATGCAGTGTCCACAGAAGCCAGAGAGGGTGTCGGATCCCCCGGAACTGCAGTCACTGATGTTTGCTAGCCACCATTGGAAACGGAACGCAGGACCTCTACACAAACCTAGGTCCTCTGCAAGACCAGCTGGTGCACTTAACTGCTGAGCCAGCTCTCCAGCCCCCGACTTGCTTCTTTTCTCGGGTGGCTACTAAAAGTTTTAAATGACCTGCATGGAAAAATATCACATGTGTAGCTCACACTTTATTTCTGCTGGACAGTACCAATTCCGTTTCTATCCCTGAACAGAGGATTAGCCTCTTAGCCTCTGAGGAAAGGAAATATGGGTCAGATAATAATTCTCCTTATTTGATTAAAGAAATCTTACTTGCTCTTCCAAGGGAGAAAGATGCTTTTCCAGCATTAAGTTACCAAAGATTTATGTCCAGCAGCATTAGAGTCTCTTTGACCCTGTTTTTATGAAAGATGTAAAAGCATTATCATGTGATTCTTTTTCAGAATCTCCCTGAAAAAGCAAAATGTCCCTAAATGCCTAGTATGTGAAGATGTATCAGAAGTCAAGCCCCTGAGGCCTGGTTATATCTTTCTGTCTCCCATCCCCTGAATCCACAATCAAATCTTATAAATGTCTCAGAGCACTAATCAGGCATTGTGTTCATTACATCATTATTTTCACTCCACTGTCCATCATCTCCCCTGAGCATTCCACATAATCTGAAGAGCAGTTTACTCAGCCTCTGTCGAGACAAGGAGACATGAGACTCAGTGATATTCCTGGAAGCAGAGGATTTTCCCTGCTTCAGCTCCTAGAGGTATTTGTCCTCTAGCAGGTGCACTGCAGTACCCCGGGCTGTGTCCTCAGGCAAACTGAGTCCTCATGTGTGAACTGTGGGTAGTCCCCCCTAAGTGGTGGGTTGTTGTGAGTGTCTGTGGCATGTGTTGTGTAGTCAGCATCACCTATGCTGTGAAGGTTGGAGCTGATGGAAGAAACACCTTTATGTTCTGGCTACACTGACTTCTGCTATAAGAGATGATATATGACTCATGTTCACGACAAAGTAGAGACCCTTCTTAACACTACAATGCAAGTGCTGATGAGCCTTAAAAATTGTTTAATTTCATTTCGCACTGTGAATGTAGAAACATAAGAAAGGAATGGAAAAATTCTGCATCCCTTACTTGACAAAATAAGATCTTAACACCAACTTCAAAAAACCTGCCCTCTCCCAATGAGGCCACTAATGCTGGACTAATCCAAAGAAAAGTTGGTGGGATTGGTGGCAACTGATTCAAAGGCACTTATCTCCCTGTTCCATCTCACTGCCAGGGAGAAACACAGGGGCAGATCTGATATGCTGGATTAGAAATGGTGGTTTGGCTTTCTTTCTGAAGAGGGTTCCAGCACACCTGATGTCTGTCCCCTATCCCTAATGTTCCACCTCCATCTACTGTTTTCTACAAGTGGTAACACAGAATAGAAATTTATAAAGAATTCTATACCATACATTAGTGAGAACTGCTTTATTTCAACACTAATCCCAATCTTCTACCTATCTGTTTTGTTTTCTAAGAACAACACAGAGAAAGTCATCTTGCCTGGAATAAACACACAAATATTTTTAAATAAGCTAAATCTACCTCCTTTCTCTTGAAACAAAAGCATTTGAGGAAAGTGTAATTTGGGCAGTGATTGATCAGTTAAGTGAAACCCCAAAGAACCTTATTTTCATTACGTGTCCTTGCTATTAAAACTCAGATGCCAAGTAGGAGGGTAATCTACACATGACATCTACATATGTTTTCTATTTTCAATCCACATCACTCCAAGTGTGACTCAAGGCTCCCTCTCAGATTTCTCCCTCTAGTAAAGGTTTTGTAGGCAAATACAGACAGGAGCGGCATTATGTGTGCCACATTTAAATAAATTTTAAGGACAACTTTACAATCCTCCTGTCATTGCCTTTCTGAAAGAGGGACTATTGTTCCCATGGGTCCCACCATCTTCTCGGCTTTCCTTTCTGCTCCTGATTTGTCCCAGAGAAACACAGAATTAGTTCACTCCCTATAGTAAAGAGCTAAGCTTGTCCCTGGGGGTCTCACCCTCTCCCTCCAGTGGTTTATCAGTCTTTATTTCCAAGCCTAGTGACCCCTAGCCGATGAGCCCAAGAGCCTTCCAGGTACCTGTTACCACCTGCAGATTTCCTGAGTCAAGCTCTGTCTTTGCAGATCTGAACCCAGCAGCCCTGACCATGGTTCCTCCGCCATTGAGCAAGACCTTGCAGTGCTGGATGCAGAAATGACCCAGAAGTTAATCGACTTAAAGGACAAACAGCAGCAACAGTTGCTTAATCTTCGTCAAGAACAGTATTACAGTGAGAAGTACCAGAAGCGTGAGCATATTAAACTGGTGAGTGTGTGTGCGCGCGTGCATGCGCGTGCTGGAAAGCAAACGTCTGGTACTCTCAGGTCACTTTTGGCACAGGGAGAAGCAACTGGCTGCAGGCTGGGGAGCGGGAGGCTCCTCGGTCAGTGTCCAGCAGACTGTGTCATAAAATTGATTCTGTTTGCTGTGTTCCCCTCTGGTCCCCCAGGGAAGCTAAGTTTGGTTTCTACTTCCACTGATTTTTTAAAAATTTTTAATAGTTTTAGGGGATATTTGGGATTATACAAGGAAGTAAAAATGCCCTGTCTTTAACAAAATGAAGAATTTGCTACAATTTTTTCTTTTTCTACATCACTGTGCTTTTTAAAAACAAACAGAACAAAAACTCTACATAGCCCATTGGCCTGTTTTTCCTTCAGAATGTTGAGGTGCCCTATGAAATCAAGTATAGGCTTTTTGTTAATGATGAGTTTTACTCTCCAAAATGTTTTTTCATAGACTGTGAAATTCTTATATTGTTTTTGATGCCTTGATACTTCAGAATACCTAACATTTAATGACTTGCACAGTAAGTGAATTTAGTACTGAAATACTAAAACTTGAAAATAGGCTAATGCCAAAAACAAATTAATAAGCTTGTCAGAGATTAGTAATGTACTGAAGAAATGGGTTCACAGATTATTCGTTTCTTTGCTAAGAGTCTGTACATGGAAGAAAAGTCACTGTGTTTGAAGAGATTGCCTGTGGAACTGGATAAAAGCTTTGCCAAATATACATCTGACAAGGGATTAGAATCTACAGAAAACTGCAAAAATTAACCCCCCCCAAAACAAGTCATAAAATCAAAAACTGGGCAAACAAGTTGAGCAGACAGTTCTCAAAAGAAGAAATACAAATGACTAATAAATATTTGAAAAAGCTATTCAACATCTTGTGTCTAGTTGCTTCTGCCTAAGAAAGAAAAATCATTTTGTTGTAAAAGTTTAGAGGAGCTCTTACAAAAACATAAATACATGTCCAAATCAGCATGGCCCTTTCAGATCAAATGTAAGCAACCCTCTCAAAATGTTTGTGGATGTGGAGTCCAGGTAAATCCCAGTACCCTTGAACATACTTATGAAGGCCTTAGTTAAAAAGGCTAAGGCCCAGACTCCTCAAATTTGGAATCACACAGCTTTACAGGCATTTGTTTCCACAAATGACACTGACATTCTGGTTCTGACAGGAATACCAGACTTTCTTCTCCATTCTGTATGTAAGAACTGGAACTTGTTCTGCCTGGGGACTTTTGGCTAAAGGGTGCCTGAAAGTGACAGTTTTGTCTTTGGTGGAGTGTCTGAATGATGAGTGGGATGCCCAGGCTAAATCAGACAAACGCAAGTGTAATGAAAAAGCCATCAAGCCCTGGGTAAAAAAATTTGATGAGGCAAATTAAACAGCAGTTATTTCATTTCCCAACATTGCTTGGGGTTTAAAATACCAGTGTGCTTAGGTTAAAAGTTTTACAGTTCACGGTTTAAGAAACCATACCAGTAAATTACCAAACGTTCACTGAAAACAGTAATATTAGCACAACATTCTGATAGATGCTAAAGATAAAAATAAGTATAATACAGTCTCCATACACACTAAGAAGAGTGTTTAGCACAGAATTCTAATAAATGAAATAATTAAGGCATCAGTAAATTGATACAAAAGCAAAAATGTGACAATTTGCCTGATTCTGTAAATTGTTAAACATCAAGAAAATTGTTTTGAAGTCATTGTTTCTTTTAACACAGAAATAAATGCACACTAGTTTCCATAGACTACAGCTTCAGAGACTTTGAATCTGCCCAGATGAGGGTGTGACTCTTTAGGAATCTAAATTCAAATAGTTGCATCATGGTTATTCAGAACACAGGTTTGTTAAACATGCAGATGTCAGGTCCCATGCCAGACCTGCTCTCTGTCACCATTCACATTTGAATGGAGTCCCCAGGTGACTCGGTATACATTCAGGTTGAAGAGGCAAGGGTTTGAAGTCAATCAATTCTAATCTTTGCTCAAAATGAGTGCATTTTAGAGTCAACCTAAAATTTCTTTTAGTTACAATTGGAAACTGTGCTCCTCACAGCTTGGTCAGGGAGTTGAATGGATGGCATCTAACTACGTGCAGAGTCACAGTTCCTCTAAGGAAGTCACTGCTGAGGTTCCTGTCCATAGTCACAATAGAAGGAAATATTACTTTAGTTATAGATGTGTGAAAATAAACACAGAAGCTTCCCCACCCCACTCAAGCTCATGAGTCCCTGAAGCCCCCTTATGAATAGGGCCTGTTTACCTCAGGTAAAGACATTGAGACCTCAGAAGGACCACAGGGCTGGAGGTCTACTCCAGTTGCCAGTCTGTTCTTCACCAGTGCCATAGGGTGAACCTTGTGTTTTGTCTATATCACTTAGATGAGCTTTTACTTTTTTAGATTTATTTTTATTACATGTATATATGTATGTCTGTGTGAGCGTATGCATGTGTGCAGGAGTCGATGAAGGCCAGAAGAAGATAGCATATTCCTTAGAGATGGCATCATAGGCAGTTGTGAGCCATCTGACGTAGGTGCTAGAAACTGAACTCAAGTCCTCTGGAAGAGCAGGAAGTGTTCTTAACTGCCGAGCCATCCCTCCAGCCCAAATGCCTGGTGTTTTGCATTGCTTTGCTTTTACTTTTGTTTTGAGGCAGGGTCTTATTATGCAGCCCTGGTTGACCTAGAACTGTCTGTGTAGACCAGGCTGGCTTCAGACTCACAGAGATCCACCTGCCTCTGTCTCCCAAGTGCTGGGATTAAAGGTGTGTGCCACCATGCCTGAATGAGGTCTTACTTGTTAAAATGACTGGTAAGTGATGGAAATTGTTAGGAGTCCCATTGTATGATTCCCGGTAACTGTCAGTATATGACCTTAACATCACAATGAAGACCAAACACCCATAGCTGAATGATGGGGATTTTGTGTTTTTGTGATAGGACGGATTGGTTTGGCCTACCAAAGTGGGTTGGCCTACCACTTTGTATTCTTCTTCCTTTTTCTTTCAATGCTGGGAATTGAACCCAGGGCTTCACAAATGCTAGGCAAGCACACTGTAGCACTGAGCTATATCCTCAGCCCCTCCCATATGTTCTGACCATCCATGTCTCCCTTCACCTCAACTTTACTGGCCACTTTACACATCCCCCTGTTTGTCATACCAGCCATCATTCAGGGCCCCAAACCAACATTAGTATCTATTGACCTGAGCCCCCTAGCTCCCACCCTGCCAATCACAGGGTATCAAAAGGTTTGTTTCCAACTGAGCTCTCTGACTGAATACTCATTAGCTGTGAATGAGAAAGCAGGTGACGTGTGATGATGATGCAGAGGGTTAGGGTCAAATGCCCTTACTGTGGGACACTGCTGCTCACTGATAGCCGTGTGGCCACTCTGTGCTTCAGTATGCTCATCTGTGCAAAGGAGATAAGAGTAATTAGCAGGCCATGGGACTACAAGGAGTAATAAGAATATACTGCATGAAATACTGCCTTTAAGGAAAAAACCTTTATTTCTGTACAATCTATGAGCTGGCTAGGAAGCCTACACTTTAAATGCAAATGTGTGTTGTCATTATTGATGCAGTTTGCGGGAACTCACTGCCTTGTTTCTGATGGTTTGCACCGGCTCTGTGTGTTCCAGCTGGCGGGGAGACCCTTGAATCTACCGCCTCTGTGAACTCCCAGCTGAGGTTATGTGCCAGGAGTAATTGTAGGGTGGGAAGTCTCACTATTGTTTGCTGTGGTTCTGTGATCTGTCTTCCTCTCCATTCTGACTTTAGCACGGGATAATTTTTCTGGGAAAATTAAATAGTTTAACTTTTCATAAAATGTTGCAGTTTTTGCCAAACAAGAAACGACAAGAGATTTTAGTAGTGAAATAAGAAATGAAGTAATAATCAGGTGCGTCCTTCTTTGTCAATTTTCCTATCACCACCATAATGGAGTCAATTTTCACACACACACACACAGAGTCACTCATACACATGATACAAATCCATAATATATGTCAGCAATTTGTTGGTTTTATTTAGCCTTATGTTGTGGACAGGTTTTTGTTTTGTTTTGTTTTGTTTTTGTTTTTTGTTTTGGGTCTTTTTGAGATGGTCACACTGTAGCCCCAGCTGGCCTGGAACTCACTATGTAGACTAGGTTGGCCTTGAACTCACAGAGATCCACCTGCCTCTGCCTCTCTAGTACTAAGATCAAAGGTGTGAGCCACCACACCTGGCAGTGGACAGTTTTTATGCTTTTTAATGTTCAATGACTTCATATTATTTCATGATATAATATAGCTTAATTTATAGAGTTCCCTCCTGATGGAATTTTCGAGTTGCTTTCACCTCTTTTATTATTGATGTTATTACAGCAATGCTGTGGAGAACATTGGTCTAAAACTGCTGACAAAGAAGTTGCTTTCCCAAAAGGTCCTACCAGCATGGCCTGCCACCAGGGGTCTCATAGTTACACCTTTGCCACTAGGGGCTTATCATTGTTTTGTTTTGGTTTTCTGCCAGACCAAATTATTGGAAGTGGTCTTTATCTCAAATTGTATAGCTTTACTTATGAGCACGGGTGGGCATATTTCTACATGTGTATTGCCCATTTCTATTTCTTTTGTCTACAAACTGCCTATTCATATCCATACACACATATTTTATATATATATATATATATATATATATATATATAAAACCATTCATTCACCAGAAATTCTCTACTGTGGCTCACACAGTGATGGAAAGATCCAGTGTGGACCAGACCTCACTATGGTTCCTTCTCTCAGGAGTTTGCAGTGGTCAAGAGCTCTGGAATCCTCAGAATTTACTGGTTTATAACAGCCATTATTAGCTCATGGTTCTGTGTATTATCGATTTGGATTTGACATGACTGTATATTCTTCTTAGTTGGCCTCACGCACGGATCTTTGTCTCAACTGCCAACCATCTAGGTTCTGCTTCTA